CACAGCAATATTATGTACGTTGTCACCAACAAGGCCTAGTATGTTTAGATAAGGGAGTTGCTGGCACTCTCTAGGTGTGTCTGATTTCAGTGGAGAATTGTCAGCATTTGTGGAACATCTTCCATCTTCAGAAAAAAAGTTGTTATTATTAAGTAGTTGTACAAAGGGTGGCTCCAATTTCACATACCATCTTGTCATTTTTTCAAAACATGGAAGGTGTTTTTAGACAAGGGTAGTTTTTAAAAAAAATTTTTTTTCAAATTTTGAAACAGACTTCACCAAAAGATAAATGGTACATGACTGTTGCAAAGAAAACATTTATAATGTGCAGATTTTCCTGATATTTTGATTAGAAAAGTAATCATGGGTTTGTGATAGACTTTTTAAGGGAAGGATAGCAAAACATAATGGATGGGGAAGAAAAAGTCATAAATCTTGCTGTGTTGAGGGGTCTGAGAATGAGTCCACCAATGCGGCTTTTTATTGAGGTGTTGCAGAAGCCGACCAGCTAGGGACACAGTGTAGACTCAGGAGCTAACACTGTGACCCCGAGCATGGACACAAGCTAGGCTTAGGAAGGCAAAAACCGAGAGCAGGTGCAAGCTGCAAAGTTGTAGTAATACGATAACATCAACTTTTCGAAACAGGACTTTTACAATTGCATTCCTCAGTTCCAGGTAAGAGGTTATTGCATTCCTCAGTTCCTAGTAAGAGGTTAACTTCCTGACTCAGTTTCCTTGCTTGATCTAGGGTTGTTCTTTTTTTTTTTTTCCAAATTCTTCATTGTGATTAAGTGATTACATAATTTCCCAAATTTCACAGTATTGTGGGATAGTGATGCTTAGTTAAAGTCACAAACACATTGTAACTTTCATGGAGCAAATTGTCTATCATAGTCTATAACAGTTATGAGTTCTATGAGCTTTGCAATACAGTTATTTCTTCCACATGGGTGATATGTACATTGCTTTTGTTTTGCATAGCATCAGCTGTTACCTCTTTCCCAGTTAATAGCTGTTCATTCTTTTTTTTTTTTTTTGATCAGTCGTGGGGCTTGAACTCTGGGCTTGGGCGCTGTCCCTGAGCTCTTCAGCTCAAGGCAAGCGCTCTACCGCTTGAGCCACAGTGCCACTTCCAGCTGTTCATTCTTGTTAGATTATTTGGACTTTGCCAGAAAACCACGCAGACATCCAAGTACAGAGAACAAAGAAAGGTTTATTGCTGGGAAGGGGGACGGCAAGACCCCTTCTCACAAGGGAGAAGTGAGAAGAAGCGCCGGCTACTGTCTGAGGTGACCTATACAACCTAGGAGGTCTAGGAGGTCTAGAAGAGGCTAGGAGGTGGAGACCCTGGTGTGGACATGAGGGCCAGGGGCTTCATGACGGCAGACTAGGATTTATGGCTGCTGTCTAAATAGTAGATAAAGTGGTCCAGGGGTCTTGCAGCTGCTGAAGGTCGCTCCAAGGGGCTCTTGTTGCTTTATATGTTGGTGGCTGCCCCAGAGAAGTGCCATCCCAAGGTAAAGGGGTTGGAAATTGATTATTTACTGCCTTTACTAAATGGGCCTAGAGTTGCCTAGGAAGGGAGCATGCTAAGCTGTTGAGAGGGGAAGAAGTGTAGTAAGCTATGGGAAGGAAGCTCATTTCGCTAACAGTTCTTGAGGGCATTTACGAAATACCTTATCTAAGGTCTGAGTCAGTTTGTCAATTAAGGCCCTGCTGTTAGAAAAATCCAGGCCCAGTTGCAACCGTCTCACTACACTCCTTCTTGGAATGTGATTCCCCCCCCCCCCAATTCCTGTAGTCCATGTAACATCTTCATAATACCTCTTCTCAGAACAGACCCTACCTATGAATTCCCATAGTCTATGTAATGTAACCCATGTGACTGCCCCCTAAACTTCTGTTTAACTTCAGCCTACGTCTTTCCCTGGCTGCTGTCTACATTCCTGTTTGGAGCAGCCTAGCAGGTCTGCCCCTCAATAAAGCCTTGAGCTTGTATCAGTCACTCTCACTTGCCTCTCATTTCTTAAAACTGATCAACCAAGCTGGGTGCCAGTGGCTCATGACTGTAATCCTAGCTACTCAGGAGGCTGAGATTTGAGGATTGTGGTTCAAAACTAGCCCAGGCAGGAAAGTCCAAGAGACTCTTATCTCTAATTAACCACTAGAAAACTGGAATTGGAGCTGTGGCTCTAGTGGTAGCCTTGAGCTGAAGAGCTCAGGGACAGTGCCCAGGCCCCAGGGTTCAAGCCCCATGACTGCAAAACACCAACAACAAAAAACCGATCAACCATATGAACATACTCTGAGAAACTCATGTTAGTTGTGGTGAACAAAGTCTTTTGATCCAAAACTTGGCATTGTCACACTGGTTACTTCCTTCCTCTGCTATCTTAGACTTTCTGTAGGATTTTTGTTTTATTTTTTGGCCAGTTGTGGATCTTGAAATCTGGCTGGGTACTGTCCTTGGGCTCTTTTCACTCAAGGTTAGCATTCTGCCACTTTGAGCCACAGCTCCACTTCAGTTTTCTGTTGGTTCTTTGGAGATGAGTCTCACTGACTTTCCTGCCCAGGCTAGCTTTGAACCACCATCCTCAGATCTCAGCCTCCTAAGTAGCTAGGATTACAAGTGTGAGCCACCAACACCCAGTTGGTTTTTTGTTTTCTTTTCTGGGACTAGGACTTGAATTTAGGGCCTCACACTCTTGCTGGGCTTTATCTACTCACAGTTGCTAGTACCGTTTAAACTATTCCTCCACTTCCAGCTTTTTGCTGATTGGTTAGAGATGTGTCTCCTATTTGTCTGCCCAGGCTGTTTCAGAATCACCATCCTCAGCTCTCAGTCTTACCATGGAGAATCAGCTTCCACGACTGCTAGGCAATCTTAGCTGAAGCTAAGACTTGATGCTTCTTCTCCCACCCAGAAAGCTGAGTACTTCCTTAGATTTATTTTACTTTCTCTCCTGCTACCCACTGGCTTCCCCTCATCCCCACCCCAGTTTCTTCTTTGCTATTAGCATTAGAATTTCTCAGTGATACCAACACAAAGGAATACCTAGCAAAGAAATAGCAGAGCCCACAAAGATTCAGTTCAGAGGCCTTCACACTAGCCTCGGATGCCGGTGCCCTTCCTTGCATGGCAGTCTGTACTGTAGCTCATAGATTTGTTCTGCCAGTTCTTTCTCATTCACTTCAACACTTCATCACAGATTCCTTCTGGGTAAGAGATACTGTGTTATCACAGTGTTGTTTCCATCCGGGACTGTCCTATGGGAAGTCTCCTTTTGAATGCCCAGCAGGAGTCAGGAAGCTGCTTTCCTTCTACTTTGATGGCAATGCCAGACAGAATAGCTTTGTGTTGGAGGGGGCAGTATTGGAGCTTGAATTCGGGGCCATATATTTGTTATTCAGGAGCTACCCCTGAGCCATACCCACAGCCTTTTTGGCTTTAGTTATTTTTCATGTAGAGTCTCATGTTTCATGTCTTTCTCCCCTGAGCCAGATGGATGGCAAACCTCCTATTTATTCTTCTGTGTGGTTGGGAAAACACATTAGCCAGCACATCCAGCTTTTTTTCTTGTTGTTGTTACAATAAGTTCTTACTAACTTTTTTCCAGGCTGATCTCAAACTGTGATTGTCTCTATCTCTTTCTTCCAAGTGGCTGGAATTACAAACGTGAACTACTATGTCCAGCACAGAAGTTTTCGTTAACTTTCAGAAAGTTTCTGAGCACCCTATCTGGTTATTTGGGAAGACTGCAGGTCATCACCCTCCTCTTCTTGCTTCACTCCCTCATCGTGGTCTAGAGCCCTAACCTGAGTCTACAGATCATCCTCTCTACCCAGAATCCTAGCATGGAGATCAAGTAGGAAGCTAGGAGAAAAGTGGGTGTGCTCTGCTTATAAGGGATGGCCACACTTCTCCCAGGCCTCAATATTTCTCTTGACTTCTCGGATTTGGGAGATGGCCCTGTAGTCTTAGGGAACTCTGGAAGCCCAGCCTAGAGGAGGACACTTAGCTCACTTGATCTCCAGCCCCAGTACTGTCTGTCAGGCCTGGGTGCTGGCCTATGGGCTCCCAAAAGCTCTCACTTCCATATTTCAGGATAGGCACAGGAGTGGAGGGCGGGGATGGGAGACTTTATAGGTTTGAAACAAAACCTCCCATGCTATTGGCTGAAAGGAGGGCTTCGGCCTATAGCTTTCTTCTTGCCTGCTACCTATTACTGCACATTAGTCATTTGTATAACGAGACTAATTGAAATTACCCACAAGCCTCCCTTTCCTTCCCTAAAGTGAGTAAGGCATGTCCCTGTGGCACTTGTTATGGGTGCCTGTGCTGGTGCTTTCCTGAGGTCCCCTGTGGCCCCCTTCACTTAGTGGCCTGGCCTGGGGTGGGAGCCCCAGAAGAGAGGACAGAAGAGCAGGAGGTGCTCTTGAATTAATTTTAATTGATTAATTTTAATTAATTAAAATTTCCTCTTAATTTTCTCTGCTGATGGTTTATTTTATTTTTTGGATAGGGCATGGGTAGAGCAGGAAGCAGGAAAGAGTTAGAAATACAATCAGCAGCTTAAAATACTGAAGATTTTGGTGGGGCGGAATATATTTTATCGACTGCCTATGTTGTGCTGGGAATGGTGCCAAAGCTCATCTTCATTGGGCTACACAGCCCATATGGGGAAGACAGTAGGAACTGGGTTTATTCAATGGTACGTGGCTACCGTGGGCTGAAGCTGGCTAAATCTAGTGAGCTTCAGTTGTCTACCTCACAAAGATTGTGTATTTCTTCAGTAAGTAGGCCTTCAGGCAGGAGGAAGAGACTAGCACAGACATACTGAGTGTACTCTCCTCTGGAAATTTCCTGTTTGTTTTGTGTGTGTTAGCCCCCCTGTCCAAGTTTCCCAAAGGCCCTCTTGATCTCCTGCTCTCAATTTTGTACATAACTAGCAAGCACATTATCGTCCCATGACAGCTTTTCTTGTCCCTTCTTTCCAGGCTTTGTGACCAGACACAATGAGAGGTACAGGAGGATTTGGCCTGCTCAGCATCCTGCTCATCCTGGCGGTCCTTGCACACTCAGGTATGTGGTCCAGAGTGTCTAGACAGGGGTGTGGATTACCTAAGTTGCCTTGGCCATTCGCTTCCTTTCTGTGAGGGACCTGGGAGACTAAGCTGTTGCCACTGACTTCAGTTTCTGCCCCAGTCCCTTTTTTAGTCCTTGCTTTGGTTCTTTTGCTTCCAGTGTGTTCTAGGCCCAGGGTTGTGTAACATTTCTGTGTCCTCAGTGGGACACCTTGAGGTCATCTTGAATTACAGGGCTGCTCTATGCACAGGGCAGGAGCTTGGGTATGACCCAATCATACCCATTATGGCCTGGGGAATCCAGTGGATGCTACCCTTAGACAGGCCCGCTGCACTCAGTCTTCTGAGCTCTGTCCTTCTGCCCAATAGCTTCTCCTGTGCTGCAGTGATGCTCATAGGGGAGGCAGTAGCAGCTAAAGACACGAAGGCTTATAACACTGAATCACTGTGCCAATCTAATGGAATCAGTAGAGATCACAAGACTAAGGTCACAAAAAAATTAAATAACTTCTAAAGGAGTGTCCAGAAATGGAATGCCAAAATGTGAGCCCAGCTTGGCGCCAGTGTTCCTGTGTTTCATCTCTGCTTCGGGCCACCCTTCCCGTGGGCCACCCCTCCCATGCCCACATTTTTCTGGGCATCGTTCCTCAGGTTTCTACAGGAAGTTGTCTAAGTCTTGGTCACCAGATGACTTGCTTTGCTTCCAGATTTATTCTGCTTGTGTGATGTGGTTACAGCATCCTGGTTGCTACTGACTAATTTTATTTGAATGGGGGATAGTAGAGAAGCAAACAGGAAAGAATTAGAAATACAATGAGCAGGATTGGGAAGGTGGCTCAGTGGTAGAGTGCTTGCCTTGCATGCATGAGGCCCTGGGTTCAATTCCTCAGCACCACATAAACAGCAAAAACAGGAAATAGCACTGTGGCTCAAGTGGTAGAATGCTAGCCTTGAGCTGAAGAACTCAGGAACAGTGCTCAGGCCCAGAGTTCAAGCCCCACAAGAACACACTTGAACTCTCCTCCCTCCCCCCATTCTCTCTCTCTCTCTCTCTCTCTCTCTCTCACGACTTTTTTTTTTAATCACTACTAGTGCTCTACCGTTTGAATCACATCTCCATCTTTTTGCTGTTTAATTAGAGATAAAAGTCTCCTGGATTTGTATGCCTAAGTTGACTTCCAGTTACCATTCTTAGCTCTCAGATCTCAGCCCCCAAGTAGCTAGGATTATAGGCATGAGCCATTGGCACCTGGCCTCTTTCTCTTTTTGAAAAGAAAATACTAAATCATGACTCCTTGCCTACCTTCTGTGCATTCTAGTCAGAGTAGGCTGTAGTGTTGTCCGCCTGTGTTTTCTCCATTCTCTACTGCATATTCCTGTAATTGCAAAACTCATCACTTCTTGTTTCTGGAAGTCTGCTACTCTGTGAAAGGTCTGGGGCGGGGCACTTGGGTCCCAGAGAATTGAAATGTGAAGCATGGACCTGTGTGTGCACATAAGAGACCTCCTTTGCTGCTGCCTAGAACTCTGAGGGGCCTCTGGGGGGATTTCCATGACAGGCCAGTGTGCCCTAGACAGAAACATCTCATAGGCAGAAAATGACATTTAACACTTACAGTTTCTTCCTTGAACCTGGGAAAGGACACCCAGGAACTGGTGGTTCAGGTACTACACCCCACTTAGGAGCCAGAATATCATCATCTACGAACGCATTCCTTGTCTTTGACTTCAGTTTACACCCACAATATGTACTGTTTCCTTCTCTTCCCCATTCAAGGCAGTTAAAAAGCTATCTTGGTTAAACCAAACCTGAGTTTTAGAACTAACAGTCTGGGTATGAATTTCACTTCCATCATATAGTAGCAATACGTCCATGGACATGCTAGTTAACATTCTCATTTTCTCTTGCAAAATGGGGATTGAGTTCCTTGACCCCACCACATAATTCTACAAAGAGGCCAGTATGTAGTGATTCACATTTGTAATCCTGGCTACTCAGGAGGCAGAGATTGACAAGATCATGACTCGAGGCCAGCTGGGCAAAAAGTTAATAAGAGCCCACTTCAATAAATGGAGGCAAAAAAACCCCGCAGAATCCTATTTGAAAAGTAAAGCATAAAGGGCTGGAGCATGGCTCAGTTGGTATAGAAGTAAGTTCAAATCCAAGTTAAAAAAAATTCTATGAATAGCTTAGTTAGTACCTGGGTACACAGTACACTGGAACACTAAATGAATATGTTAGCTATGGATTATTTCTGTTCCACAGAAGTTCTAAACATGGGCCTTGATTCCAATCACTCTTAATGAGTGCTTTTTTTTTTTTTTTTTTTTCAAAAACTGACCCTCAAGTAGCCTAGGACAACCTCCACTTCCCCCATTCTTTCTTTTTCTTCATAAGTATGTACACAGACCTGGCACATGGAAGGGACTGGAGAGAAAAAGGGTACTTGTTCCTTTTATTGTGCTCCCCTCCTGCTCAGGGATGGCTAATGCTGACCCATGGGTGAACAAGCAGATCTGCCTGACAGCATCCCTGCCCACAGGCTGGGGCTGGCCCTGGCTCTATCCCTTAATATAAAGCTGGATCTACTTGGAAGGTCACTTCATCTCTCCAGGCATCTCCCTTGCCAACTGAAAACAATGTGGGCAGGGAGTTATATTGATGTTTCAAGGGGCTAATCTACAACCTTCCCAAATCAATAGGTCTTCTGCTGGTTTGGATTTTGTACCTAGAAAGACAGGATGAAGGTACAACAAGGAGCCCGGCACCTATGTTCAGGCCTGAGGCCTTTCTTTCTACCAGACTTCAGGCTCCAAAACCTACACTTGGAACCACTTGGTGGTTCACACTTGTAATCCTAGATGCTCAGGAGGCTGAGATCTGAGAATTGAGCCAGCCTGGGAAGATAAATCCAAAAGATTCTTATCTCCACAATTAACTAGCAAAGCACCAGAAGCAGAAGTGTGGCTCGTAGCAAAGCACCAACATTGAGTGAAAAGAACAAGCAAGCAAGAGTTCAAGGCCCCTAGTTCAAGTCCCCATACTGGCACCAAGCCAAATTAATAATAATAATATTAACACTCAGATCCTTTAGAAATGTGAATGAAAACCTCACACAATCACTGTAGATAAATCATTGCAGTCACTGTGGGTAAAGTCTTTATTCCTTGTCTCTGCCATCACCAACATGAGCCACTGCTTGGCCCTAAACCTCCTCCATTCTTTTCTGCAGTCTTTTCTTCAGCATTTCTTTTGCTGTTTTTGTGGGGGATTTTTCTTTTCCTGGGTGTGAGTTCATTTTTCTTTGCAAAATCCAAGGATCATAAATCATCCCAAAGCCAGATAATCTTGCTGTCACCAAAATGTGTTCTGATTTCAAAGACAAAGATGGCATTCTATGAGATCTTGAACATTGTGGCTAGTTTTGTTTCCTCTACCCCCACCTCCACCCCAAGCTTCTCTTTGCCCAGGCTGGATGCCATGGGTGTTCACTTGTTTCCTCAGAAGTAATTGGTTGGCTATGAACTTCCTAGTGGGGATGGTTACTGTGTCATGGTAATGGTGACTGACCATCAGGCAGCCAGGAAAGAAGAGAGCTGACCCCGTGCTTCCAGAGGTAGTGAGCTCTGTTCTCCCCACCTGGGATTAAGTCATTTTATGGTTCAATAGGTTCTTTTGTTCATTTTGTTGATGCTTAACACATTCTGATAAGCTTTTTTCCTGATTCTAGGTTTTAGCCTCCGCTGCTACAACTGTCCAAGCCCAGTTTCAGACTGCAATATAAACATGACCTGTCCATCTAACCTTGACGCATGTCTCTTTGCACAATCTGGTAAGAGCATCCCTGACCCCTGTCCTCCTACATGCTACCAGGGATGAGAACCTCAGAAATGTAGGCCTTTCTAATTCTTGTTCAACTTTATGCAATAATAGCTACCATTTGTAAGTTCCAGCTGCATATTGGACACATTCCATATTTTTTTAGGGTATGTGTATGTGTGTGATACTCAAGTTTGGTCTCAGAGCCTTGTGGTAGCAAGGCAGATGCTTCACCACTTGAGCCAGGCCTTCAGCCCATTTCTGTACATTAAAAAAAAAATCTAGTCCTGGGGCTGGGAAGGTGCCTCAGTGGTAGAGCGTTTGCCTTGCATGCCTGAGGCCCTGGGTTTGATTCCTCAGCACCACATAAGCAAAAAGAAAAAAGCCGGAAGTGGTGCTGCGGCTCAACTGGTAGAGGGCTAGCCTTGAGCTGAAATGCTGAGGGACAGCGCCCACGCCCAGAGTTCAGGCCCCAGGACTGGACCAAAAAAAAAAAAAAATGTAGTCCTTCTCACCTACCTCCCAGTAGTCTTTTATTCCTATATGACCCCAAACAAACAAACAAACAAAAAGAAGTTAGAGGCTCTGATTAAACAATAGATCCTAGTCAGGTCATTCATTTGGGATTTGAACATGGAAAGCTATCTGATTGCATAACTTGTGTTTTTAACAGTGACACTCTTCTGTCTCCCAAATTTCTTAGAGCTTTCTGTGTGCCAGGGCCTGAACTGGAGGGCTAGGGATGTAAAGATAAAGGACATGTATAAAAAAAATTCTGACTGTGACCTGTGTGGCTATCTCAAATGACTCTTATCTTGGTCTCATTCCATGAGGCATCTAGTACTTCTGAAGTCCTGAAGGGCCTCAAGCTCAGAAGACAAGGCTGAAGGGGAAGGGAAATCCTGGGAGAGGCAACCACAGGTGCCCAGTTGAGGTGACCTCAGAGAGCAGAATGTTCAGAAGTGGGCATTGGGGTGTGCTGGTATACACTACATTTTTCAAATTCCCTAAAATACAATACAATCTCCATTTCCATAATTGCTATTAAAATAGAGGTTAGCACATAGTAGAGGAAGGAAAAACCAGCAACAGTTTTACTAGTTTGAATAGATGTGTAATACCAGTAAGACAAGCCAGTTTCTTAAGGGTGGTCTTGTGTATAAAGATAAAACTCCCAGGCCTACATTTTTGGTCATTACTTTTTTCTTTTTTTGCCAGTAGAGGGGCCTGAGGCTTGAATTCAAGGCTGGGTACTGTTATTGAGCTTCTTTTGCTCAAGACTAGTACTCTAATCACTTGAGCCCCAAAGCCATTTCTGGCCTTTTCTGTTTATGTGGTACTGAGGAATCAAACCCAGGGGCTTCATGCATGCTAGGTAAGCACACTACCACTAAGCCACCTTCCCAGCCCTTGGCTTACATTTCTAAGAGATAAAAATGAAAAGCCTCTTCAAGGTTGTTTTCATTCTTATCCTCCCTACCATAGATTCTTCCCAGTACCAGTATCAAGGAATTGTGAAAATGTCAGATAAACTCATCAAGAGTTGGGGGAAACCCACAGGCTCAGAAAAAACCTGAAAGAAAGAGGATTCATTTCCCTGGAACAGAGAAATACTTTCATATGTATAAGGCCCCATTAGAATATGTTTAAAAACCAGGAATATCTGGTAATTTTGCTATGAACTCCTGGAATGCAGCTAAAATTCCAAGCTCTACATGTAAAGTTCTTGATTCTGCAGGGACAGTCCCTTCCCTCCACCAAGAACCATTTGTTAACTCACTGCAAATGAAGAAAGTACATTAATGCTGCTCAGCAGGATATACTAATTTTCTCCACAAATATTCGATCACTGATTGTGTGTATGAGTTGGTAGACACAGGTAGTTTTGTTTTGTTTTTTGTGTGTGTGAGAGAGTTGGGGGCTTAAAGTCAGGACCTGCCTGGGTACTGTCCTTGAGTTCTTTTACTCAAGGCTAGCACTCTACCACTTTAAGCCACAGCTGTACTTCCAGTTTTCTGGTAGTTCATTGGAGATGAGTCTTATGGGGACTTTTCTGCCCAAGCACACTTCAAATCACGATCCTCAGCTCTCAGCCTCCTGAGTAGCTAGGATTACAGATATGAGCCACTGGTACCTGGCTTTTGTTGTTGTTCTTGCTCATCTGTCTCTCTGAGACGACTCAGTGCAGAGTATAATTTCCAATCGTGGAGATGGAGCTGTTGAATGAGTGAGGATCAGAGTAGCAGTGAGGCGTCCTGACATCAGTTCTACCATCTCACCCATGCATTATCCCTGAAATGTGTATGCTGGGTACTAGACCTAAGTCTAGATCGTCTTTCCAGCTCTCACATTTTGTGGTTACATATCTGAATTGTTAAGCTTTTAAAAAAAAGTTAATGTAAACAACCATGAAGCAGCCCTTTCAAGATGACTAAAACCCAGAACACTGACATTAGCTGCTGGTGAAGATGTGACACAACAGGAACCATCACTTCTTACTCCTAGTCATGTAAGATGGCCCAGCCACTTTGATGACAGTTATTAGCCCTCCTTATCTGTGGGCTTCAACCTAACAACTGTTGATACAGGAGAATATATATAGGTTGCATACAAATGCCATAGCATTTAAGGGACCTCAGATTTGGGTGTCCACAGGTCCTGAAGACAGTCCTCTGTGGATATCAAGGGGTGACTTCGGGTATTCTGGCCTTACAGCTGATATTAACAGAACATCTAAATCCTCCTCTAGCTCTGAATCAGGTTAGCCTGGAAGAGGCAGAGTGCAGAGCACTTGATTCAGATGCACAAGGGGAAATCACTTGAGACACATTTTCCCTCCGCTTTATGTAGAATGGGAATGCTTAACCTCTGTGATCCCTTAGGGTCAGTTGGAAGAGAGAATGAGTATGATAGTGTTACATGAAGTCTAGAAGAAAGGGAGGTGTTCATTGCTAATTCAGTGATCATTTACTGGCCTTCCCGTAGTATAAACTATGCTAAATATACTTAAGAATCTTGAAAGGAGCCTTTGATGGCAATGACAAAGTAGCCATTCTGTGATGGTATTGTGAATGAGGGCCACATTTAGGGACGCATGAAGGCAGTCACAGACTGTTGGTGTAGGTAGACTTGAACCACTTCTTTCAAAACGATGTGGAGCTAGGCACCAGTGGCTCACACTTCTAATCCTAGCTACTCAGGAGGCTAAGATCTGAGGATCCTGGTTCAAAGCCTAGCCCAGGCATGAAAGTCCATTGAGATTTTTTTTATCTGCAACTAACCACTGAAAAATGGGAAATGAAACTGTAGCTCAAGTACTAGAATGCCAGCCTTTAGTAAAACAGCTAAGAGACAGTGCCTATTAATTAATTAATTAATTAGCCAAATTGGAGATCATATTGAACAAGATATACTAAGCTCAAAAAGCCAATCTATTGCATGTTTTTTCTCATTTATGCAATCTGTATCTAAGATGATGATGATGATGGGTGATAAATGAGAAAGGGGTGTCTGGGAAGATAGCTGGAAAGGATACTAAGTGAGTAAAGAAGATCTCACACACACACACACACACACTCTCTCTCTCTCTCTCTCTCTCTCTCTCCTGGCTCTAATGAAACTTTGGTCTTATGGATTTAGAGGTATGTCATCACATCTTTTCATGATCACCTGGCTGACTCTTCTTGCCTAGACCTTTCTCCTTCCACAGGATAAGTTCTAAGAGGTAGAATGAAAAGGCCATGGAGGCACAGAACTTTCCCCATGTGATTTCTTACCCCTTGTGTGTCTCTCCACAGGGCCCCGCATCTATCGCAACTGTTGGGCATTGAGGGATTGTACTTTTGACTTCATTTCCAGACGAATAGGAGAGTCTGAGATCCAGTACAGCTGCTGCCAGGAAGACCTTTGTAACCTCATACTCAAATCTGCTGGAGTAGCAGCCACCGTATCAGGGAAGCTGTTGTTGCTGGCAATCCCATTTCTGGCAGCAATGTGGAACCTTTGTCTCTAATGAAACAGCAGAGTGGGAATTTCCTGAGCTCCTCCACTTTCCTATCTTCCCATTTTCTTACTGCTGCTGCTGCACACCAAAGCCTTTATTATTTTTCCACTGGATGTTGTTGAGAAAGAATAGAACTATCTTGAACACCTTTGATAAGAGAAAAGGATCTGAGAGACTTGAAAGACCCTGTCCTGCATTTAGGATAGGAGTGAAGATAGAGGAGTAACCTGAGGAGGTTATTTCTCTTCATCCTCTACTTGTTCCCTGATTCCTGAACGTAGTTAAATAGTATAATCAGTATTAGGGAGAATGGGGAGACAATGGATATTCTTTCCAACATCCTCTGTCACATAAAATTCTTTCATCAGCCATGTGCCAGCAGCTTATGCCTGTAATCCTAGCTACTCAGGAAGCTGAAATTCTGAAGATTGCAGTTCAGAGCCAGCCTGGGCAGGAAAGTCTGTGAGCTTCTTATCCCTAAATAACCATCAAAAAGCCAGGAGTAGAGTTGTGGCTCAAGCGGTAGAGTGTCAGCCTTGAGTGAAAAACCTAAGAGTGCCTAGGCTCTGAGTTCAAGCCCACGTATCAGCACAAACAAAAATGAAGCAAACTTTTCGGCATGCAGGCATGTCAGAATTGCTAGGTATGGGATGTCCAAAAGCTGTAGACTGAGGACTAGACCCAGGAACATGAATGTGCTAAACCACACCCCTAGCCCATGCAATAAGATGCTTAATACAGAGCAATTGGAATCCCTTGCTTTGTCTCTGCCAGAGAGTATGGGTAGGGAAGGAGGATATCCTATCTAAATGACAGTGCATAGAAATACAAGATCTGTCTCTAGAGAATTACCCGTGGCTGAAATTTGAATGTTCCCATGTCTCCAAATTTTGTATGGGCTTTGCTGTCTTTCACTTAAAAAAAATTAATTGCCTAAACTAATGATGTATTAAAGTTATACTCCCTCTTTTTGATTTTCTTGAAAAAGAGATTATCACACATAAAGAATAAACATTCTATGCAAAGGGACAGGGAGTATTAAGTGCACTTACTTCAAATGTATTAGGAGGAATTCCCTTGTGTGGTTCTAGAATAAGTGTTTATAGAAGTCCAGGCACTGATGGCTCATGCTTATAATCCCAGCTACTCAGGAGGATCCCAGTTTGAAGCCAGTCTGGCGGAAGTCTTCAATTAATGAACAAAATGCTGGACTGAAAGCATGGCTCAAATGGTAGAGTGCCAGCCACGAGCAAAAAAAAAAAAGCAAGCGCAAGAAGCCCAAGTCCTTGTACCAGCACAAAACACAACAAATCATATGGGCTGCTATTCAAGACTTCCAAATGTTATCATTACTAGCAACAGATATGTGAACATATTTTGCCTGATGGTATTTAGTTTACTGACTTCTGGCTGATTCAGCATAGATTATATAAAATAGACGTGTAGGATTACTATCAGTCACAAATGTTGAAGTTTTTGACAGCTCTATTTCCTCAAAAAGGAAGTTTTTCCTTTTCCCTGTGTCTCCTGGTAAATAATCTTCAAGACTTAAACATTGTATCCTTATGATCATATCAGTATTTAACAGTATAATGATAATGGTTTTGCATATGAGGGAGGGAATTTTGATTTTTTGAGACAGGATCTGACTATGTAGCCCAGGCTTTCCTGTAACTCCCCATCCTGCCTCAAGCCCCCTGAGTCTTAGGATTACAGGCATATACCACAGTACCAAGCTAAACAAATACCCTAAAGATCTCTGATATAATCTGCTGTACAAATCAAATGCATATGTAATCTCTTAGATGACACTGCAGTAATGTGCTTTTCTGAAAATAAAATAATGAAATGGATGAGTGTGGTTATTGTTCTGGAAGTATAACAGCACACACACATACATACTTTTTTTTTTTTTGGTTGGTTGTGGGGCTTGAACTCTGGGCCTGGGCACTGTCCCTCAGTTCTTCAGTTCAAGGCTAGTGCTCTACCACTTGAGCCACAGTACCACTTCTGTTTTTCTAGTGGTTTATTGGAGATGAAAGTCTCAGGGACTTTCCTGACTGGGCTGGCTTTGAACCTTGATCCTCAGATCTCAGCCTCCTCAGTAGCTAAGATTATAGGTGTGAGCCACCAGTGCCCAGTCACACACACATTTAATGGTAATAACTGAAAGAAGAAATCTTCAGAAGTGACTTTCCTGTATAATGCCTTTACTAAAGACATAGACAATAGAGATACCCTGGTCACCACCCAGGGTTGCCTGGATGGCCTATGTTCTCTTTCCTCTTTCTTCTAAGACATGTTACTAGGAGTAACTCTCATCAAAAGGATCTTGTTTCTGCCTAGGGAAATCCTGACCATGCCCACAGCTGTTGGCTAAGCAAAGGAGCTGATGTTGACTCAGTGGAGCAAAAAAAATGAATTAGAGATGCAGTTCAGTGTGAGACTGGCTGGCTGCCATCTTGGGCCATGGCTCTACTTGGCCAGAGTTCACTGAGGAGAGTGAAGTGTTTTATGTAGTTTTTGGGTGTCAGTATTGGAGCTTGAACACAAGGGGTTGGGACACTGTCCCTTAGCTTTTTCACTCCATACTCTACCACTTGAACCCCAGGTCCACTTCTGACTTTTAGGTGTTTAGTTGGAGGTAAGAATCTCACAATTTTTCCTGAGTTGAGAGTTGGGTGCTTGTTGATGGTTTTTATTTGTTTGTTTTCTGGTGCTTGAACTGGGGGCCTGGTGCTGACCCTGAGCTTCTTTCTATACTCAAGGCTAGTGCTCTACCACTTGAGCCATAGCTCCACTTCTGGCTTTTTGGTGGTTAATTGGAGATAAAGACTACCCAGGTAGACTTTGAGCCATAATCCTCAGATCTCAGCCTCCTGAATAAGTAGGATTAGAGGTGTGAGCCACCAGCTGAAAGGAAGTTCTTTAAACAGAATCTGGTTGGAGCTAAGTGAGGAGAGAGCTGCTGACCAGATCCGCCAGGGCTAGTTTGATGACCTGAAGGTTTGTTTCTGAAAAAAGTGGTCGTGATATATGCCATACACTGTGAGTTGGGTACGTGGATCCAGAGTCAATCTGCAAAGGAGAGCTGGTAAAATTTCAGTTTCACAGAAACTTCTGCAAAGGAGAGCTGGTAATATTTCAGTTTCACAGAAACTTCTGCAAAGGAGAGCTGGTAATATTTCAGTTTCACAGAAACTTCATAGTGGTTCTGAGGAGTGCAACCCCATTGGATTTCCTCTGAGGGTGAGGGTGGGCATTATCCCCACTTCTGGTTCTCAGTTCCACCCAGACCCGAGCTCCTCCCTGCACTTGAGTTCCCCCTATATAGCTGGCCACTCTTTCTCTCCGCCCCCCCTCCCCGACCTACCTGAGCACAAGACTAGCCCCAGAGCTACCCACCTGGATAGGGGCAGATGTCATTATGTTCCCTCTCCAGGGAGAGATACGGCCCCTCTCATAAACCTTATAATAATCTTTCTCCTGTGGGTGCCTGCCTCTTTGTGGTCCCCAGGGGTGGTCATGATGGACAGGTATGTGAAACCCAGGGTAGGATGCTGTTTTCTACCTTCTTGTTGGTCTTACTGAGCTCTAAAGTATATTCATGTATATTCTCACAGTCAGTCATGATTGAACAGTTGTGGGAGCCCTGATAAGGGCTTTCCCAACCCTGTTTTCCTCCATATTTTGGACTTTTAGCTTCATGAGTAGTGTGAGTGGTCACAACTTGGGAGCTTATATGCCTGGCACAACTCTAAACATTATAGTTACATAAACCAGATCACTTCATTTTCTCAATTTGCAAATGTGAACAGGCTGTCTATACACATAAGCCTACCATTTCCAGATTACAGATGAGACCCTGTTTACTTGAATGTGAGACTATGGGATCTAGACAGCAATGCCCCTGGATTTGGTCAGTTCTACCTTTATAACCCCATCTGCCCTGCTTTTTCATTCAAAGCTCTACCATTGAGCTACATTTCTAGTCCTGAATTTTGCTGGTTAGTTGGAGATAGCATCTCTTGGGACTTTTCTGCCTTGGCTAGCTTCAAATCTCCAAACTCACATCCCAGCCTTCTGAGTAGTTGGGATCATAGATATGAGCCACTAGTGCTCAGCAGTTTCTGTTTCTTAAGAAATTCCCTGACCCTGACAACTACTAAATGAGAAGGACTGCAAACTATACTCTCCTCCTCCAGCGGTAGGAGGCATTTAGGATGCTCCTTTATCAGTATCAGTTGTAGGGACAGCACCTACTATAATGGACATTTGGATTTTAGCCACTAGGCTTGTACCTGCTAAACAGAACCATTCTTTTGGGAATTATATCCACCCTTAAGTTTAGTCTTGGAAAACTAGTAAGTATAGCCCACCCTTTACCCCAGCCAAAGGAAAAAAAAAAAAAGGATGGACATATAGTCTCTCCTGGGATTTAATTTATGCAAGAATGTAAAAAAAGTTGAGTGAAACTATGACTCTCTCCAGAAGGTATTCAGCTGCAAGTAACCGACAACTTACCAGAAAGTCTGATTTTCTTGCATAAAGCCAGAGATAAGCAACTGCTAGCATTGGTTCCACAATCCAGCAATGTCTGGGTTGAAACACTGAAATACTTGGTTTTTACCTAATGAACACTTCGAAGTGACCACAGAAATTCCCAAATTGCTTTAAGTTTGAGGCTGGAAAAGGAAAGGTGGAGTAGGGGTGTGGCTGAAACACGAGCTCTTGCTGTCCTCAATACTGAAAGAAATGAGAGTGGGGTGGGGGAGAAAAGAAGGAAGGGAAAAAGAGGAAGGAGGTAGGGAAGAAGAAGGAGAAAAGAAAGACAATAGGAGAAAAACATCACTTGCTTTTGTCTCTTCTACTAGAAAACTTCCAATTATCTTCTGTTCTTTCCCTATGGAACTGTATCTCGGGGCCACTCTAGTTAAAAGAGGAAAGGTTCAATCTTTCCCTCAGCTCTGAGTGAAGGTGGTGAATAATCATTGAGACAGCCAACAGTCTACCACTTTGAAGCCATATAAAACAAGAAGTTGATTCTTCCTGTTGCTGAATCCATGGAGTTGCCCTGGCCTCTGTCATCTGAACCTTGTCCTCAAGTATTCAAATCCATGAGTCATCTCAGCCTTGGGAATATCCCTGTGCTAATTCTGTTGCTTGTGAACAGAATATCAGACAGACCTATCCTGTAAGTGATGTAACCAGGATAGTAACTCTAATAGTAAGTTCAGCTATAAGGTCAGTTCAAGGTCAACTAGTTGGTGCTGGTTGACAGAGCTTCCACCCACCCCACTCTCTTCTAGGCTCTGTACACCCTATAAACTACCTCTCAGGCTATTGCTTAATTTAAATTTATTTATTTTTACTTTTAAATTACTACTCTGTAATGACACAAAAATCCATCCATCCAGGGAAATCAGAATATGGGCTGGACTGCATGCTTTGGAAACTTTCTTGGAATAGTGGGTATCTATCGTAAACAGAAGTATACAGAAGTTGGAATACCAGAGGCCCTACACCAAGATCAGCACAACAGCTCATTCAGATGAGTAATAAAGAAAAGACTGTTTGGGTTTCTTAAAATAGCTTTGTCCTTATTGTGGCACAAATAACTTTCGCTGAGTGCCAGCACCCTGCCAGGAAGAGGCCTGGAAGAGCAGAGGCCATGACCGCGGGCTGGCTGAGCACTAGGACATAGGAGAGGAGCGGGGAGGGTGCACCTATGTTTACATAAGTTTGAAGCCAGGACCCCTGCCTTTGCCCTATCAGAACCCCAACAGCCCAAGTAGCTTTATATGTGTCTCTATCTCCTTGTGAGAGCACCCACACTCTAACAGTGTGTGCCCCTGCCCTCCTGCTTGTCTATTTATCTGCTTTTTGTCTCTCTGCTTGTTTACATAATAAAGCTGCACCAAGTTTTACCATCTGTAACCCTCAGCTTCATTATCGGAACATCCTCTACCCAGACCTGAACTCCACCCTGCCTTCCACACAGAAAAGAGAACTCTCCCAGGGGGTTTCCACAGGTCACAGGTTTCTCCCAGAATAGGTGTGCATACTCTCCACCCAGACCTAACTGGGCATGCAGAGTACCTCCTGCCTTTAGCACCGGTGTTATAAGGATGCCCCTGAATAGTGAGAGGTGCCATTTCTCCCTGTCCCCTGTAGGGGAGATGGCCTTGTCAGCTTCGGCTGACAAATAATCCCCTTTTCCTGCAGGTAACTGTGTCTGTGTAGTGTTCTGGGATGGGTGCTTTAGTAACATCCAGAAATACTTATTCTGTGATCAATCAAACACAAGGACACTAAGTGAAGAGTTCCTACATTTAAAAGGAAACATTTAAAAGGAAACTTCACTAATCCTCACCTGCACCGGGATACAGACATAACATTCATTTGTGATGCTGGTACTGACTGATCTTGACTGGCCCCATTCATCTGTGTTTACTCATCCCAGTGAGACTCAAAGAATATTTCCTTGCCTTTCCCTTCCTTCTCTGACTAATAATCACAAGCTACACTTAAATGAATACCTTGGTGGTGCCCCCAGGTGACTCAGAGTGTGCTGTTTGAGGTGGATCCTGGAGGATTTCCTTTTGGTTGTTAGTTTGTTGCCCTAACAATTTATGTGTTTGGAAGACAACAGTTTCAGATTTCACTGAAAACATTCTTAGTTTCAGGGCCATTACAAATGCAGACCAGGTTCCTCTATTCCAGAATCTAGCATAAACACAGCTATGTTTGGAAGAACACAGGTGGGCTCTAATAGCCATTCCCAACCAACGTTCTTCTCTTTTGCCTCCCACTGTAGAGCACGAAAAGTCAGCCATTCATTTTGTTTTCCTCTGATGAGGAGTGGCCAGGTGATTAGGAAAGAAAAGGGTTCTGAGGCAGGTGGTTGGGAATGTTTTTCTTTCCTCATTAAGGACAGGAGGGCTGAAAAAAAGTTTTGTTTTGCAGTCTTGGCCAGCTCCCTGCTTCCTGCTTTGGGATAAACATATAGGAGCCACGAGTAGGTAGCTCAGGCCTGTAATTCTAGCTACTCAAAAAGCCTGAGCCCTGAGGTGAGGGGTTCAAAGCCAGCCTTGGCAGGAAAACCCATGAGACTCTTATCTCCAGTTAACCACCAAAACGCCAAAAGTGGAGCTGTGTGGCTAGCCTTGAGCAAAAAAAAGAAAGAAAAGGAAAAGCTCAGGGACTGCGCTCAAGCCCTGAGTTCAAGTACTAGCACCAACACACACGCACACTAAAACGTTAGACAAAGGAATTGGAAGATAGTGGGAGGAGCCGGGGGCGGGGCGGGGCCGGCGTGGGGGGTGGGGCCGGCGTGGGGGCGGGGCTACTGCGAAGCGAGTTTGTGTTGGGCATTCGCGGAAACCAAGGGCTGGCCGCCTGAGGGCGTGGCTTTCCCTGCGGCGGGGCGGGGCACGTTCTGGGGCGTGGCCTCGGACTTCAGAGTCCCGCCTGTCTAGGGTGGGGCTGGAGCGGAGGGTGGGGCCGCGCTCCGTCGGGGCGTGGCCCGTGGAACTTCGCGACCCCGGCGACGACGCGGGGCCGAGGCGCGCTCTGTCGGCGCGGGGTTCCTCCCACGCAGCCTCCCATTCAAAAGATGCCGAAGGGGCGGCGCGGCAGCCAGAGCCCCACGATGAGCCAGCGGCCGGCTCCACCCCTCTATTTCCCGTCCCTCTACGACCGGGGCATCTCCTCGTCGCCGCTGAGCGACTTTAACATCTGGAAGAAGCTCTTCGTGCCTCTGAAGGCGGGCGGGGCGCCGGCGGGCGGGGCGGCCGGGGGGCGATCCCTCCCCCTCGGGCCCCCAGCCTCGACCCCCTCGCTGCCGCCCGGCCTGGGGCCCCCCAGCGAGCGGCCCTGTCCGCCTTGGCCCTCCGGCCTGGCCTCCATCCCCTACGAGCCTCTGCGCTTCTTCTACTCGCCAGGGCCCGAGGGGGCTGCCTCGACCTTGGCCCCCGGCCCCACCACGCCCCGGCTCGCCTCTGCCTCCCACCCCGAGGAGCTGTGCGAGCTGGAGATCCGGATCAAGGAGCTGGAGCTGCTCACCATCACTGGGGATGGCTTCGACTCCCAGCGCTGTGCGTGACCCTCATCGGGACCAACCTGAACCCAACCTTAGCTCCCTCCTTGGCTTCAGGCCGGGCACCCAAATTGTGGCCTAATGATCCGACTCTAGTCCTGGGAGCCGCAGGTCCAAAATCTATCCCTCCCCCCCAGAGCCCAGACCTGCCCAGTCATGCATCTCAACTGACCCCCCCCATCCCCTTCACCACACAGCTGACCGCTGTGAACCATTTGGCCCCAAACTCTATAATCCTGAACCTTTTGGGTAGGCTCTGAGCCTCCACACCTGGAACTAACTCCACCCATTTAGGAGAGGGAGTAGTTGGGAATTGCCCAAGCCTGGAAGGCCCAAGGCTCTTTACTGTCTGGTCTTGGGACACTCCATTTCCTGGTGCTTGAGGGTAGTCTTACCTTGTGGTCAGAGTTCTAGACTCCTCTGCTATCTCTGATCTGAGGTCTAACATGGGGAAGACCAAGGATTCTGATGTGGCAGGGTCCTCTCGTGTGTGAACTAATACCTCCCTACTAGAGTGTAAGGGGGTTCAATACAGCCACATTCCAAGAAGAGCGTGTTTATTACCTATTAGTCAGTAGGCTATGTGTTCCCATAACCTTTCCCTGCTAAGCCTTTCAGAAGGAGGGAGATTGTTCTAGAAAGATCATTTCAACTCTTGTATACAGCAGGGTAAGCTCTTCACTCTACACCCCCCCTCTGCCTCTCCCCCAAACACACAGGGAGATGTTTGAAGTAACCTATGTGCAGTGGGAATGCACTGCAATCCATCAGATACCCTGTAACGTACCTATTTTATAGCCCTGGAAGAAAAACAGTTTCTAGACTGTTGCACCTAGATATGTTTCAGCTATTAGGGGATTTTAGGCTTATGTAGGAATCACAATTACCAGAAGGTTGAGAAAAAGTCCTTCTCTGTGCTGTAGCTAAGTTGGTTTTTCTCTACTGCAGATAAATTCCTGAAGGCGCTCAAAGATGAAAAGTTACAAGGACTGAAGACCAGGCAACCTGCAAAGAAGTCAGCCTCTCTCTCCTGAGGAGCTGCTCTGCAGAGCTGGGCAGCCACCCCCTTAGGTGTTAGTGCTTAGATATTGTGTCCCATTTGTTGTCATTTCAAAGATGATTATTTTCTGTTCTGTATTTCTGCTCTATTTGTTACTCCCAGCTCGTATCCCACGTACAGTGTTCACTTGCATGGTAAATCTCATAGTCTCTCCTCTGGGAGAAGACCTGGGGAAGCCCCATCACAGGTTGTAGAAGCTGTGGCCTGGCTAGCAATCAGTCTCTCCTGAGACAAGAGAAGGGGCTCCCAACACTGCTACGATCAGATCACACTATCGGGAATGAGTGATGTGTAGGAGGAGTTAGGAAAAATCAAGGACAATGTATATTTGGTTTGTTGCCATGTCTCTGCTAGATAGGTTCTTTGAGAACTAGAACTAAAACTAGAGTTTGAGGTTTTTCTCCCCAAAATATGTGTAGTCTTTGGAAGTCCTTGATGTTTTGTTTTTAAAAAGTACTTTTGGACTCCCTAAACTGTCTAATATTCTCATATAAAGCTGTGATCCTTCTCTAAGATTTATACAGTATTCAAGAAGTATTCATTGAGTGCTTATTATGTTTCTGAGCTCCATTCCAGCTTCTTGAAATGGAGAATAGATCAATACTTAAGTAAGTCATACGACAGTATCATATTGTAAGGGGTATTATGGCATCATGCTCAGTGGTGGGGAAAGAGTAGCTACAGAGAGCCAGGCGGGTCAGAAGAAGGCTGAGTGGAATTTCAAGTAGAGTTGTTTGAAGAGATAGCATTTTCTTTTACTTTTTTCATTGTTGGGATTTAGCCTAGGACCTTATGCTTGCTAGGCAGTTGGTCTGCCACATGAGGCATACCTCTTCTACGGTTTTAGGGTATTTTTTTTTTTAACATAGGATCTCACTTGTCACCCAAAGCCAGCCTCCTTCTCCCACCTGGTACGTGTATACCACCACACCAGGCTCATTGACCACCAGCCCCTGCTGCCTTCTAACCAGGATCCTCCTGCTTTCCAACTCCCGAGTAGCTGATATTACAAGTGTGAGTCACCACACCCAGCTGAAGATAGTGTTTTAAAATGTTTAGACATGATGGAAGGTCATAGCCACCGGAGAATGTTCTAGGCAAAGGATGGGTGCGAGTCTTTAAGGGGGGAGCATGCGGGCATTTTTTGAAGCGTGGAGAGTGCTAGGGGTGAATGCAGAGGGACCCCTTCCGTTAGGATCCTACACTGGGAAGGACACTGGTAGATTTTGCTCCAAGTGGGATGGGGAGTCCTGAGAGTACATTCAGCTAAAGCATGATACGATGTGACTTAGAGTATGACTGCCGCCTTGCTGTGGCGGTGTGAGCAGACGGTAGGCGTGCAGGGGGTTGTCATTAACAACCCAGCTGAGAAGACTGTGCTAGCGGCAGTGAGAAGCAGTTGGGAAACAGAAACACAGGATTGGGCCTGAGATGAGACCACAGGGGGACAGGTTTTAGAAGATCAGTGTAGTCTGGGCAAAGTGGTGTTGTTTGTTGACATCCTGGTGAAAAGGCTATGTAGGTACAGGTGATGTTAGCCTGTATTTCAGGACAAGGCTTGGATTGGAGGTATATGTTAGGGAGTGACTGACATGCCGATGTATTTTAAAAACGAGATCAAAGCCAAGTGCTGGTGGCTCACACTTGTAATTCAGCTATGTAGTAAAATAAGACCGGGCTGGGAAGGTGGCTCAGTGGTAGAGCGCTTGCCTTGCATGCATGAGGCCCTGGGTTTGATTCCTCAGTACCACATAAGCAAAAAGAAAAAAGCCAGAAGTGGCGCTATGGCTCAAGTGGTAGAGCGATAGCCTTGAGCTGAAGAGCTGAGGGACAGCGCCCAGGCCCAGAGTTCAGGTCCCACAACCGGACCCAAGAAATAAATAAATAAGATCTGGGGATTGAGGTTCAAAGCCAGCTTGGGCAAATAAACCCGAGACACTTATCTCTAATTAACCAGTAAAAACTCAGGAGTGGAAATGTGGCTAAAGTAGTAAGAGAACTAGTCCCAAGGAGAAAAAAACAAAACAATACCCATACTAAAAAACAAAAAGTGAGGCACAGGCCTTGAGTTCAAATCCCAATACCAGCTCAAAAGAAAAAATAAAAAAGATCAAGATGGAGTGAACATTGGGAGAAAGAACAATGACAGGCAGATCCAAAGGGCCACATGCAAAACCACATGCAAAACTATTTTAGCACTGACACCACATGCAGAAAATTATTCTACATCATGAAATTTAGTTTCATGCAAAAAAATTAATGTATAAAATCACCTTTAGGGCATAGTGTGAAAACAAATCATAGATGAGCCAGATGCCGGTGGCTCTCGCCTGTAATCCTAGCTACTCAGGAGGCTGAGACCTGAGGATCACAGTTCAAAGCCAGCCCAGACAGGAAAGCCCATGAGACTCATCTCCAATTAACCACCATAAAACCAGAAGTGGTGCTGTAGCTCAAGTGGTATAGAGTACTTGCCTTGAGCTAAAGAGCAGAGGGACAGCATGCCCAGACCCAAAGTTAAAGCCCCACAACGAACAAAAAACACGAATGTCATGTTTAAAGCTGGGTCCCATTCCTAAGATATCTCATTACATATATACAAGTTTCCAAAATCTAAAAGAAAACTCCAAAATCTGAAATACTTTAGCTTCCAGGCATAATCCAGGGGTTATCCAGGGATAGTCATTCCATATTAAGCTTTGAGGCACTCAAACTGAAGAGGTTGAATAGTTGCCAAAAAAGGAGAGTGATCAGGAACAAACAGGTGATCACCTGCCAAGTGGAGAAAAAGTATCCGGAGGAGGGAGCAGTATACTCTAAAAAACAGTGCTGAGAAGGCTAGGAAGGACAGTGCACTCTCAGACTTAGCAAAATGCAGTCCGCACTAATCTTTTCAAGAGCAGTTTGGGATGAGTGGTAGGGCGAAGGCCTGGGTGGAGAAGTCTTAGGAGGGGAGGGGATAAATGATGGACGCAGAGAACTAGAGCAGTAGATGGAAAGGAAGTGGGAGGTAACATTTTTGTGTGCGTGTGTGTTGTGCTTTGTTTTTGTTTTTGATCTGTCATGGGGCTTGAACTCTGGGCCTGGGTACTGTCCCTCAGCGCTTTATTTCAAGGCTAGTGCTCTACCACTTGAGGCACAACACCACTTTTGGTTTTCTGGTGGTTAATTGGAGATAAGAGTCTTGTGGACCTTCCTGCTGGGGCTGGCTTTGAACTGCGATCCTCAGATCTCAGCCTTCTGAGTAGCTAGGATTACAGGCATGAGCAACCAGGTGCCCAGCAGTAACTGGTTATAAGATGGGAGAAATAATTGCAAGTTGGTGGTATCCAGATAAAGTGATGATGTGAGAGAGAGTAGAAACTGCCAGAATGGCATCTCAGGTCTGTGAGAGAGGTGGGTCTTTGTCCTTTTTGTGCTCTTCTATTAGAATAGTCCAGACTGAGAGATTTTATAAAGAACAGAAATTTATTTCTTCCAGGGCTGGGAAGGTGGCTCAGTGGTAGAGTGCTTGCCTTGCATGCATGAGGCCCTGGGTTCAATTCCTCAGCACCACATAAGCAAAAAGAAAAAAGCCGGAAGTGGCGCTGTGGCTCAAGTGGTAGAGCACTAGCCTTGAGCTGAAGAGCTGAGGGACAGTGCCCAGGCGCAGAGTTCAGGCCCTATGACTGGAACCAAAAAAAAGCCCCCAAAACAGAAATTTATTTCTTCCAGTTCTATAGGATGGAGAAGATCAAGGTGGGGTTTCTCTGCTTCCAAGATGGTGCCTTGAACTCTGCTTTGTCTGGAGGGGAGGAGCATTGGGTCCTCATGTGTCAAAACCTCAGGAAAGGAGAAGGGACCACTTCCCAGAGCACCTTTGACTTTCCCAGAGCAGTGTTGATTCATTTATAAGGTTGTAGTCTACATGATCTAAAGGCTTCCAGAAGGCTCAGCTTTTTGACACATATGGTTGTTGTGAAGATTATTTCAATACGGGCTTTAGAGGTGACAGAAAAATTCAGTCTACTAGGTTGGCTTTCGAGGGGGAGTACAGCTGCTTTGTCTGTAGTAACAGGAAGTTACATCTGTGGTATGGGGTTGCAGATGCTGGGAAGTTGGGATGCTGGAAATGGCATGTATACCTGCAGGATAATTTACACAGCAACCTCCAGCTTGGAAACGCAAAGGCGCATGCCTACAAAGCTTGTCTGGCAAGCATAGAACTGAAGTCAGGGAGTCCCATGGAGACTGCAGAGCTCTGGCTGACTATGGGAACAGTGGAAACCCAGTTGAAGCCAGTCACTGCTGAGGCAGGAGTGTGGGCAGAGGATCAGGTGAAAGTTCCTAGTGTCTTAAGCATAGCAACACATTCAGATGTTTCCAGAACAATAAACTGGGCAAGCAAAGACCATGGTGTCTCCCAAAGCTGGCCCACTCCGTTCTGTTCTAGCAGCCTTTCCCACCCCCTACCCTAAAAGCTGCCAGATTTGGGCCATAGGATGACTGCTACTAGAAAGCTTCCTCGTTTTCCCAGAGAACTTCAGGCTGGGCAGGGGCTGGAGAATCTTAATGAGGACAAATGCTAGGAAAACTCAACCCAGAGCTCAGACAGAGACAGAGATTTCTACTTGTGGGGACTTAGTGTCCAGTTTCTCCCACAGAAGGACTAGGAGCCTCACCCAGACACACTCATGCCCACAAGTGCTGGGCATGATGAGGCAGTTGATGCGTCAGGTCCTCCTTGTGAGCTATGTAGATCCTATCCTTGGCATGCTGCACACAGATACAGAAGCTCCAGGAAAGGAAAAAAGACATCTGACATTTCTTCTAAGAGTTAGGATGCGTTCATCTCTCGCAAGCATCTTCTTGGAGTGATAAATGACAGAGAAGGCCACAAAGCATGGGAAACCTGGCCCTTCCCCCGGGCCCACACACACAGTGGCAAGAACACCTGCAGTGAGCAGAGCTTCCACTTCCGATCCACCATGACAGCACAGAGTCAGCTCCTTAGACAGCCACACTTGGCAGCTACTGTGAGACTTTTGCTCCCATTTGCTGGCCTTGGCCCCACTTTCTGCAGACTAGAGAGGATAAG